AATAAAATGTTTCTTTGCTTTTTAAGGTTTTGGGGTCCCTTTTTCAGCTTTTTTTCTAGTCCCTTAGGAATAGAAACTGAAATTCTCCTCCCATCTCTTGTCTCTGGTGCCCTGTGATGGATCAGGCAGATGTAGTGACCACGCGGTGTTGAATGATGGATGCTGCACTCCTGAGGCTCCCTCTGAAATCAGAGGCGCGCCTGTCAGAGAGCTCTGGTGTGGCTCCCCCGTGTCGTGAGCACGTTCCCCAAGGCTTCGTGCTACAGCCCCCAGCCTTCAAGAGCAGCTGTTGTTGGCGGTGAGCCTCGAACTCCTGTGGTGGCCACATCCCAGGCTGATGCACATGGCGGTGTTGCTTCCGCAGGTGATGCTGTGTCGGGCTGAATGTTTGCTGCCTCTGGGCCATTAGGAACATGGGAGACGAAAGCCAGCTAAGGTGAGCAAGCGGCCAGCTGCAGAGTGACAAGAGATCAGGCTACGTCAGGGTGTCAGACAGACCTGCAGGCTGGATCTGGCTCATGCAGCCTCTCTGTCCAGCCCACCAGCATGGGAGGTTGTGGGGCATGGCCTGCTGCAGAACCCAGCGCCCTTTGGCTCTGCTGGGCATGGCCATTGGCAGCCAGCTTGACCTGCCACTGCCACCCTTGGACTCGTTCCTGGGCCCTCACGCCCTGGGCTGGATGCAGCCCACGAGGAGCCCTGCGGTCCAGTGAGTTTGATACCGCTGGGCTACGGCATGGACTTCTTTGACGCCCAGTATAAACCCAGAGCCCCCTCCAGTGACTTCTCCTGACTCTCCCTGCTGTTCGTGGAGTCTGGTTCTGTGCAGCCAGCAAGGTGTGACTTGCAAGTGGGCTGGTTAGACCACATGACACCCTGCAAGGACACTTACTCCGAACTTAGCATGGTCTTATTCTGCTTTGGCTTCCAAAGTGAAGTAAGCTAACTGAAGTTAAGACCACTTTAATTCTGAAAATGAGTGTCCACGCAAGAATCTGCTAGATAATCCAGGGTAACTTTCCTGAGTGACCCCATGCAGATGAGCTCTGAGTTGGGTGGAGATTGTACCCTTGTAACTCAGTTCTGCCTTTGTCACTTATGCAGGTGACAGAGCCCTGAGCACGTCCCGAGCCCCGTCTTGCACACCTTCGTACACGAAGTACACGGATATTTTTAGAAGGGCATGATGTTCACTCGTCTTGTTCAAAGTGCACTGAAACCGGGACTCTCAACATTTCTGTACTAACATGGTAGGAGAGTCTGATTGTATTAGCAATTTCCCATCAGATGTTGTCATATTAGTATTGTATTGTATTAGTATTTGTTTCCACTAATGTGATGCGAAAGTTGCTAATATGATAAGACTCCTGCATTGTATTAGTGAAAACAAATATTAATATGATAGGATGGGAAATTGCTAATAAGAAACTAAGTTGCTAATCTGACATGATGGATCTCCTCGAGAAATTGGTTGTAGCTTTCCTGTACTTTTCCAGAACCACCTTCAACCATGCTCAGAGGGGAGATGGGAACAGAGCGTTAGGTAAAGCGCATCCCCAGTGGAGCTTCACATTAGCGTTATTCAGGAGGAGGGTGAAAGAGCCAAGATGACAGTCTTGCCTCGCCTCTCCCTAGTGGGAGGAGGGAGACAACAATTATTAACGAGTACGTGTCCTTGGTGTCATCGTGGAGGCGATGAACCGGGCCCTGCTTGCCTTGCTAATGGGACCAGCCCCGTTCCTTTTGTTGGGATGAGTTAGCTTTGCAGCAGTGAAAACGCCTTGCTGCTGCTTAGAGCTAAAAAGTCAGTAGTAGTCCAGCGCACTTGGCCCTTGGCTGTGCCCCTTGGCATGGGCAGTGGTTTAAAGTCATGGATTGGCCTCGAGGTTTTGTAAAGGTGGTTTTTACAAGGATGCGAGTGTGAGAATTGATGCGTGCTGCCTACCCTTGTGCAACTGTGTTCAGAGGATGCTTAAAACTCCAGTTCCTTCCTCTCCGTACATAATGGCTCTTTTGGACTTTGACTAAGCTTTCATTTACTCATTAATCCATAGTAGTTGCCAAAAAAAACCACTGCGCTGTGTGCGTTTAACCCGTTTTTAAAATGAATATTGCATCCTTGTTAGTCCAGAATGATTGTACTGATTGAGACGGATACAAATGTAAGCTTTTCGTTTGCTTTTTTAAATTCCTAATGGCCTGTTACCTGACAGTAAGGTCTAGGAAGCAAATGTTTTTTAGACTTGTAATAAAATCGGGTGCTGAAAGGAAACGGAGACATTGCCCTGTAGGAGCAGTGGCAGATGCTTTCAATCCTCCAGGCCAGACTGTGGATTTTCACGCCTGCTGGTGGGTTTACTCACATTAGTAGCTCTGTTCAGAGCGCGACCCTTAGGAAAGGGAGCTTTGCTGCTTTGCTCCAAGGCTGACTGGGGTGAGTAACTCGGCCGCGTTAATAATTCATTCTAAGTAATTGATCATATGTATTTTTTTAAGGGATTAAATTGCATGTAAGATTCTGATAGCCTTGCTCAAGTTGACCAGCAAGGACCGCTCTTGACTTCACTAGGATGAGCTGTGGAGTAAGATGCTACTTTACATGCGTAAGAGTTTCCAAATCTGGCCCAGTATATCAAGCTAAAATGGGCTAGATGCATCACAGGTGTAAATCAGAATAGCCCTGTTCACTTCCTTTATGTCAGGGGAGCTACTTTGATTCGGTTACCCCTGACGTCTGTGGGCCTGTCTGGTTTTGTGCCAGAGGAACTAAGCTACTTTCCATGAGTGCCTCTGTACGTGGATGCGGGCTCCATGGAAGTGTCTCTGCCAACTCCAAGGGCAGCCCGATGACATCTGGAAAGAGGGCACCCCGGTTTCTTTCAAGAAAGACAAATGGTTTCTGAGCACATTTCCTTTGTGCCAAGCCTCTGCGCTCTCGGGTCCATGCTGGAATGACTCATTTATGGTCAATTATAATTCTCGGTTGCTAGAATTTAATAAAAGAAGTGCTGACCTGTTCTTAGCGATTGCAGAGCAAATGGCACCACTATAACTTTGATTGCACTGCTGTGAGCAGGGCAGTGTCCACGGGGCCTGCCTGAATCATCTAAGAGAAGCCTGTTCATTCCCTTTTTATATGGAAAATGCCATGCTGCCCCCTTTCCTTGTGATAACATTTCGTGATGCGACGGGTACATCGCAGAAACACCATGGGAGCTTGATTTCGCTTGCACTGTTTGTAATTCAGGCACCGCAGAGATCCGGCAGGCAGGATTCTCCTTTCACTTAACACAGGTAAATCTTGCCTTCAGTGAAGCTGTTCCTGATTTGTCCCTGGTCATATGAGACGAATCTCTTTGCCTTTCAGATAATGAAGCAAACTCCAAGTGGCCAAAATATGGCTGTGTCAGCTGTGCCGGGGTAGATGGGGGCTTTACACTGGTGTACCATACAGCAAACCAAGGGACGGCTGTGCTGTGCAACTCCAGTATAACACGAGCCAGTTTGGCCCAATATGTTTGCTGTAATCTTTGGCAAAATTAAATTTAAGGTGGTCATTGGGCAGCTTGCTAAATATCCTTGCTGAACTCTGGGGGTATGAATTCAGGGCTTGTTCAGGCTTTAAAAATGTGGCTGCTATGTCAGTATGGTGCCAGAGAAACACATACCTAGGATGGGCACAATTATATAAGCATAAGAGTGCTTGTAAGGGTATAGTTTATTCTAGTTCATCCCTACCTATATACGTGTCCTTTACACTGGTAGGACCGTATCCATACTTGGGCCTTTTCTGGTATAGTTAGATCAGCAAAAAATAGCATCTTGAAAAGTCTTACTGGCTCAGCTCGCTTGGGCAGCGTAGACCATCCGTGGTCTCTCGGCTCTCTTGCCCAAGTTGTAGACCGCCCGTGTTGGCGACTGGTCGGCAGAACAGGCGAGCTGCCAGTCCCCTCTGTGATGCTCCTCCGTCAGCAAAGAAGGAACGTCAACCTGCGGGTCCTTCCTCCCTGTCTGGCACATCCTCCAGCCATGTGGACGTGGTCCCACGACGAGCAGAAGATCCTGGGTGGCGTTCAGTCTTTTATTCTCACTCCGTGGCAGATGACAGAAATGAGTTTTGCAGGAAGCCTGAATTTCATGCTCTGTCTTGAGCCAGCGGACGCGGCGTATTTGACAAAGGTTACCGCTGCGTTGTTATGAGCATGTTCTGCCTATGACGAGACATAATAACAGTTCCCTAATTTTTTTTTTCCAGAAACCTGAGCAAAATATCAATTTCTGTCATCAAGAGACAGAGTAGGTGAACCAGAACTAAATAAAAATAAACATTAAACAATTATTGGAATTTAGGTTTATTTAAAAAATCAGCAGGGTTGAGGGAACAAGCCACCTATTAGCTGGAAAGAGCTCTTGGGCTTTTTAACAACATGCTGTTTCTTGGCTGAGTCTGGGATTTGGGCTGTACAAGCGGTGGCAACCCTGGATATTATTGATTAAAGATGATGCAGCAACAGTGCAATTATAACACAGTTTGTGCTCACTGCGGTGGTACTGGTGGCCTCTCATTTGTCTGTATGAAGATTGCTTTGTTTACATTTCGGTGCCGGATTTCATTTGCTATTTTCCTTGCATTATTACTGTTTGTGGTTATCTCTGGAATTAAACAGGCGCTACCTTTCATAAACTTGATTTTCTTCTTCAGTCTCCGACCTCAAGTGCTAGCTGCCATCTGCCTCGGCTGTGAAATTATTTTAATTGTTTTCTTACCCTGTATTTTTCATGCATAATGGTAATTCGGGAGGTGCCTGTGCTTTATCAACCAAATCAATGCAAATAACGGGTGAATGTTACTGTACTTTTCAATAAGAATTGATCTGCCTGAAACTGATATTGCATTGAAATGTATGTATGGAGCTGCCATCCCACACCGCCTGGCTTAAAAAAATATAATTGCTTTGGGTTATAGGAAAAGAAATGATTTCTGTTGGAGCATCATATCCATGGGGTGGAAAGCAAGCTCCAGCGTTCAGACTCTTCCATTTGCGGTGACCGGCGCCGCGAGCGGCATTTCAGCGCGTCTAAGTGAGGTGGGTCGGGGCTGGCGACAGGCGACTGGCCTTGGGTGCTCGGTCGTAGCTCTGTAGTGGGAAGACGGAGCCGGGACCGGTTCCCCAGCCTGCTTCCCAGAGCAGGTCCTGGGACTGGCAGGCCCTGCATGGGATCCTCCGCGGGAGAGCTGCGGAGACACCTGGTCCCTTTTCTCACCTCGTGAACGTTTCTGAAAGGCCTCAACAGCATCACGCGAGAAAGGCTGGAGAGGCTGCTCTTTGCCCCTGCCCTCCAGAGCAGCGGAGGGGTGCATAGCTGCCAGCCTCTGCAGGCACTGCCTTTCTGACAAGTTGGCAATGGGCACGAGTCCAGCGCCAGTGGCAGGTGCCAGTCTCGGAGCAGGAAGCCTTTGTTTTATCCCCAGCGCAGGCCTCGTTGGGGCTGCAGCAGGGTGAGCATCTCCCATGCCAGCCCATGTACCTGGACCTCTACTGGGGGCACCACCCGCAGGACCGAGGGGCAGCTCCGGCCCATTCGACCCTTCATTGCCTTCCCGAGACTACGGGCAGGAGAGCTGCTTTGTGATGCTGCCGGTGGCGATTTCTGTTCATTGACTTACTGAGCTGTAGCCATCAGACTACCCAGGCCCCTCCGGAAGCTGCTTGACGGCAGCAACCTCCAGTCGTTCCCACTCCTGTTGACTCAGTCCCTTGCAAGGGGCGCTGGGCAAGCGTCTTGGCTGAACGTATCAAGAGCTCCTGCCCCCCTTCTCCACCCCTTCGCCGAGTTAGATAACACGACTTCACTGAAAAAAGAGGAGAGAGGGAAGCAGCGAGGGAGGGCTCCCGACAAAGCACTCACTAAACTGTAAATAATTAAAGTTGGAAAATCTGCTCTCCAACATTTCCAGAAAATTCTGAGTAAACATTAGGAAGAGAGTTGAGACGTAATCTAAATCATCTCGGCTCCCTGGCTCGAGCCGCACGGGGAACCTCACCGGTACCTTGCGGGGATTGTGCCTCTTAGAACCAGTCTATAATGCAATCAATTCTGTATATCCCTAGTGAAACAGCAACATTTATTTAACGTCTTTTATAGAGCAGCTGAGTTTTATCACAAATCACATTCCATTTCTATTCATCAGGGACCCCTTGAAGGCTAAAATGCACTTACTTTTCTCAGAGGAAATTTACCAATTCTTCAATAAAGACCCATTTGCCTCAGTATGTAAAATTGACACATTTATTGAATATTAAACATTTGTTGGTTTCTTCCGCGCTTCTTTCGACTTTATCTGCTGCTCTTAAAAGTCGTTAGGGGAAGGATATATCAAAGTTGCAATAAAGGCCTATTTATGTACAGGAAAGAGAAATGTTTAAACTCGCTGGAGAGCCTGACTTCCCGCGTGTTTGGGAGCGGGGAAGGTATGCTTGGAGCGCAGGCGGCGACGTGACGTCGGTAGTGACCCTGTTTTGCTTGACCCCGCTCTTCTCTTCGCTAAGCATCGGGCAGTCTTTGTCTCTGCGTCTTGTGGCGTTTGGATAAAAGCTATTTCTGGTTGCACGCAGCACTGGGTTATATAATGTTGTGAGCAGCACCATGTTGTGCCAGCAGTGAGTTGAGCTAATTAGCAGGAGGGCCAATAAAACCAGTTTTTCCTTTTATCACTGGAGGTCCAATAAAACCAGTTTTTCGTGTATCACCGTCCCGAGATGCTGTTGTAAATCAATTCCAATGTATTCTAGTAATTCTGACCTGTCTTTGACTACTCTGAGCTTTGCGTTAGCCATTTAGCCTTTTTTTCCCCCTTGCTTCATGTCGGGAAAATACCGAACAGTTGCACTCAAAACCCGCCGCCCTGTAACATGCTTGTCGGACGACCGTTTGAATGCATGCGACCCGTTTGGCCCAGCTGCAGGGTGTTGGAGTGAGGCTCGCGGCTTGTTGTTTGGGAGGACTCGAGGATAAAACAAGCGGTTCTCCCGGAGCCGAGCGTGGGATCTCCGACGTGCGTTGCAAACAGTCAAGGTGTCCCCTTGAAGTCAGATCCTGCAGCCGTCATTCAGGCAACACTAGCGGGGAAGAATACTACGGTAATTACCCAAAGCAGTTGTCCTGCTGTCTCATTTAAGTTGTAGCAATTTGAACCATTTACTTCAGCCTACAGCAGGGGCTTTTTTTACCGCACAAGCCAAATGCACGTTGGCTTGAAAGGGAAATAAATGTGTTTGAATAAAGACCGAAACCGTGCCCCTGGATTCATCTATCTTCCGTTCAGCTCATTTGCATGCTCTACCTTTTCTCTCGTTTAAATAACTTAAGTGGAAATTCCCAACTTTGCTGGGTTGTTCGGTAGTGTGAATCATTTCTGCAGCTCTGACAGATAACTGAAGGAGGAGTGGGAGACTGGGGACTTGCTTTGGCCTCTCTTGCTAGTGAACAGGAAGCATTTCATCTCGTGGATACTTTTACTGACTATTGAATATCAGCATTTCAAGAATAGCCATTTAATGACAACTGGCTTAAAGTCCCAAATAAAGAACCGTCTAATCTGTCAATCTATCTGGAACGATTAAGGGGGCATTAAACCTAATATGGAGATACATTTTTAATTCTGATTATTTTGCTTTTTAATAAAAACAAGGGTTTCTCTGGTGATCTGAGCCCAGACGGCCTTGTACCAGCATGGTGTAACTAAGCCTTTTGCTTCCATCAGGCCGACTTACCGTGCCGAACATATTGTATGACCCGCTCGGTTGGGTCTGGCGGCCCCGTCCCACATCGGTAAAGCAAGTGGAAGTTTTGTCATTGACTTTTTGGGTTTGGGATTAGACCCCAAGCTCCTGGGGCTGGCAGCATAGCTGTGGCAGTCGTAACGTGCGAGGGGGAAGGTGGTGGCTCTGGTTAAGAGAGGGTCGTGTGGAGCACGGTGAGGCTTGCACTGACCACCAGGTCTCTGGTCCAGGTCGTCTGCCTGGTTTCTCATGTTGGCGCTTAAGCCCACGCTGTGTGGATGAGAGCTCGCTGCAGCACACCGAGACGTGCTCTTACGATGCCTGAGGCTCCTGGAGCTGGACCTTTTCCAAACAGCCTAAGATAAAATGGGAGCTGAGTGCCCGCGTGGTGCAGGCAGCTTTGCAAACTTCTGCTTTGCCTTCAGACGCGGCAGGTGGGGCAGAGCAGCAGCTCCATGAAGAGCCCCCTCTGCTCCCCCAGGACTCCCTGCCCCTACTCCGAGATGGCCCATTTCCCCACCAGTCGAGCTGGGGCTCTTAGGGGCACTGCCTGCGCTAGTTGATAAAACAAGGCAGCATAAGAAATGCCAGTGCAATGGAGCACTTATACACATCTCATCTGGAGTGTGCTGTAAAAATAATGTACTGTGATATCAGCAACCTTTTGGTTGTGCCAAAGTAGCCGTAACATCACAGGCAAGCAGCAGGGAGGGAGAATTTGCCGAAAGCTTCTCCTAGAGCGCAGCATTGCCTGCGCTTGTCATTGATCCATAGCTTTTGCTGGCTCAAGCATACACTAATTTCCCAACCACCCTTTTATTTTCTTTACTGTCTCTGCAAGAAACAGTTGGCTCAAAATCAACGAGGCTGGGTTGGTTTTTTCCCACCCCCTTTCCCACCCTCCTCAAGGGAAGAAGTTTGAAGTCACCGGTGGCCTTTAAGTTTAGGAGGAGGTGCGAGAGTTTTAAAAAAACCACGTGAGCTTTTATTTGTCAGAGCGATGTCTCGGGGGCACCTGGCACACGGATGGCACGGGCGTTCCTCATCTGTGACTCAAGAGCTGCAGAGCCATCGAGCTGTGTTGCAGGATTTCCTTTTCTTCCCGGTGCCGGGCTGGTGGACCTCATCAGACCCACAGAAGCGTGGTTTCCACCCCTGGACGGTTGTGTACTCTCGAATGCTAGCTAAATCTAGATAGTAGGGGGTGGTCTCCTATGCATGCAGTCCGCTGGGGATGAAGCAGAGAGGTGCGAGTGCTAGCCTCTCCTACCATTAGCAGGATTACCATCCTTTCTTAACATCCAGCACCCAGGACCAGGCTGGCTAGGCTCTGTACAAGCATTTAACAGACGGCCCCTGCCCCAAAGAGCTTACAAGTGGGACGCGCCTGCGACGGTCCCCTTTGGCGCCCGGGCCGAAAAGGAGATGGATCCGTTCATCCTTCAGCGGTCGCAGGTTCCCCTCCCTCTCTTCTCTTGTGTGGTCTTTAGATAAGGAAGGGGAGCAGCATTCCCGTCCTGTTATTGGGGAAGAAATATCACAGAGCAGTTCTCTATAAAAATAACCTTTCCAGTGCGCAGAAAGGCTCTTCTTTATGGGTGAGGGAAAGTGCTTAAAATGCTTAGAGGGAATAAACAGCTTTTAATGAAGTTACATTGCCACATAATGGGTATCATAAAATTGCCTTCATAGTACAGGGTCCCAGGATGGCTTTTATTATTGACTGAGTTGGAATCCTCTCTGTAAAGCTCCAGCAGCTGCAGAGAAGAGAATGCAAAGTCTTCTTAAATTACCTGATTGAAATAACTGGCGAAATATTCTGCTTTGCTGCTTTGTTGAAGGGAAAGCTGCCTTTGGGGTGGTCTGTCAGACCTGGTTTGCAGATTCTGAAGAACACAGGAGTTTCATTGCAGCAAAACAGATGTTCATCTTGTTTCTCTATCGGCTGTTTGATGAGAAATTTATTGCTCTTCTGCTGGGCTGGAGCTCCTCTGCTGTGGAGTCTATTAGCCAGACCAGCAGCTGGCAGGAAGCCAGGAAAGCAGTGTTTTGATGAAACCCATGAAAGCTCTGGTTCGAAGGCGCCAGTAATAATGCATCGGCTAGACTCTTCTGATTGGGCAATTGATTGCTCTGATTTGATTTATTGATCAATACCCTCAAATTTGGCGTCTGAGAAGCTGAACTAATCTTTAACTGCTGTGAACATCTCTGCCTGGTGGAGAATTAGAACTGATAAGGAATGTATGAAAGGAATCTGAGCTTATCTTAATCACACAGTGCCCCAGTGCTGCCTTAGCCGG